ACATGGGAAATGTAAATATAATAATTCTAAGAAAATATCGAAAAGTCTAAATGTAGCACAAGACAAGAGAATAATATGTTGTTATATATGCTTTCAAACTTTTTTTCGTCCTCGGATCTGCCGTACTGCGCTCCACGATTAAAATTTGCAGCTGCAGTGGTTATTGGAAGTGCGCAACGTGCGGAAAATTAAATGAAAATACACACACGCTATGTGAAGCAATAATCGATAAGTATAACCTCGAGATAAAAGGGAAGTGCAACAAAATCGTTCAACAACAATAGCACATGTATAGGCGCTCGTATCATACAATAAGATAAATATGTGTTAGCCAATTGTTCCACATGTCTCTAATCTAAAAAAAATTCGTTTTATTCAATCTTAAAATAAAGATTTTCGTGAACAGTTCATATTTCCTATAAATTAATAAATAATAATACAATGAATGTGTATGCAAAAAGAGAAATTTATATAAAGTCTCATTATAAAGTCTTATTTTTAGAAAATACTAATTAACAATTTACTAACAATGAGTACCTTCTATCCTAATATAAACAAAAATTTACACGAAAATAATCATATTTATTTAATATTTTAAATAAATATAATTTTAAAAGCTACATTTCTCAACTTCTTATGACTCTAATTTTTCATTCTCATTTATTATTAAGAAAAAATATATTTTAATTGTTACACATTTTTTTAGAAAAAATAATTTTGAGAAATATATAATTTATTTTAATCTTTGTTAATAAATTGCTAATTAATGTTGACTTCCTAAAAATAAAATTATTTTTAATCTGCCCTGTAAGCATTTTTCCACTCATTGTATGTGATAGTAAATATTGGGTCGGGGAAAAAGTTTCTTCGTATTTTTTAATTCAAAATTCTATATACAATATCTTCATCAAAAATGAACAAAATTTAAAAAAAGGATTTTTGAGCTTGAAATCTTTCTACTTTCGAAAGATTACTATATTTTTTGAGTTTCTGTGAATTTAGTAATTTTTATACTAAAAAACCTACGAGCTGAAAAAGATGAAAAAAATTTTTTTTTCATATTGAGGATCTCTCACGTGCCCAAAAAAAAATTTATGAAAACTACCTATCGTGAAAGCTTAACACTTTTCCTACAAAATCATTTTTTAAAAATGTTCCTATGATTTTTTATTCCTCGTTATTCGCGAGATAAGTAAAGGAATATTCTGACTTTAATTGCTCATAACTCCGATAAAAATCATCATACTGCAATTTAAAAAACAAATTCTTAAAACTGAAACTTTGCTCTAGCAAATGATATAATTGTAACGAAAATTTCGCAACAAATGAAAAATTTTTGCAAAAAAATTTTTTTAAATACGAAGAAACTTTTTCTCCCAATATATAATAAATAATATAACTGACAAGTATTCTGCCGCATTATTTATTTGTCACGATTCTAAATCTAATCGTTGATGTTCAAGACGGTTTCCATACAGATCTTATATATTGCATTCCGCGTGTATTCGATGTAAAATAAATCTCCAGGAAAAAAAAGGAGCAAGTTGCGTTATTCGTTATCTTTTTGAAAGTATCAAATATTTATCTAACCACAATTTTCCTTTTCGCGATTGCTGTGTGCGCGAGATAAAGAGAAGCACGACTCTTCGTTGAACTTAGAATTATTAAATCGCATTTTTGTACGGGAAGAAACAAACTGGAGGAAAAAAATAAGAAAACAATATTCACGTGTATGAAAAATAAATTTATATTTATAAAATAAGGTATAGGTTTCGTCGACAAACTATTTATACTTGAACAAGAGGAATTCGAGATATACATCTTAAATCAGACTACGATAGAAAATAAAACAAAAATGCAGTGCAATAGAGTCGGAATCCGAATCCATAGATTCGTTTTAAAACTAATATGGCAAATCTCTCGAAAACAATTGATAACGGATCGAACTATTGTCCTAAATAATGCATAGATTTTCCGGGCGACCTCTCTTGGAATCGTTTTGGCGGAAAGAGGTATAACGTTAAGTCACAATTATCATTTTCCGTTTACGTGGCAAGAGTTCAAGCGAAACAATCATGATTATCATATATACATATATATATATATATATATATATATATATATATATATATAAAACATACATATATATAATATATAAAATATACTGTATATAATCAAATATTAAAGTTACCGAATTACTCGCTATGCATTATCCTTTTCGAAAAAAATTTCGGAAAGCTCGATAATGCATAATATAGATATATTCTCCATGCTTTTCATCAAAGAAGTAGTATCACGGGGTAAAGCATCAATAAACTGAAATGTACTGAGTGATTTACATGGAGTAATGCACGCTAACATCACAAATAAGTTCGAACAAAGAGATGGCACGAAATACGAAATGCCAAATGAGGCGAGTTTCATTTGAAAGTGTAAAGGAATTATTTTAGCAATCATTAACAATACGAAATGATTGTTAGAATAATATAAATAAATCATGGGTTAGATTAAATGAGTTCTGAGAATTTTTTCAGAATTTTTTAATATATTATTTTCTCATATTGATAAAAATAAAAAAGTGCAGTACTAAAAAGTTCATAAAAAATTCTGAAAAAATACTTAAAGTTTTATGAGAAGAAAATAAATGATTTTTCTTTCCTATAGTTTTAAAAAATTATTGAAAACCAATATTCGGCAATTTTTAGTAATTAATATCTCGTTAATCATTGCGAAAATTGCAAAATGATAGAAGACTTTTCGACTTAGTTTAATTCGCTCTATCTACACAAAAGCGCTTGGCAAAAACTTACAGAACACCCTGTATAAATATTGTACATTTTTGCTCTAAAAAAATAAAAATTTATTAAATTGTACAATATAATAGTTACTAAAAAAAAGTTGATACTACAAGGGATACAAACATCGACCGCGATGGCTGTGGACGAAAAATGATATACGCGCGCTCAGCATTCTCAGCAGTCTCAGCCAAGTCTTCCTGCTTATCGTTGCAAGATTCTAATATTTCGTACAGTTCGGATTTCTAACTTTAACTCACAATTTTCTCAGAAATTAAGATCCATTTATTCTAATTTGTACACTTAATTCCCCTTTTCGAATGAATTCATGATACATTTGATAGAGGTATACAAAAATAATTTCCCCAGAAATGTGCATATATAATATTCAAATAATTGAAATAATAATACGTAAATATTTTACATATATTATACATATTTTATTATATACGTATATTGTATTATATATGTATATAATAAATAAATATAGATATATACATATAAATTATTTTAAATATGGGATGTACTAAAAAAAGACAAGAAAAAATCGTATTAATAGATACAGAGAAAAACATTTTTAAAGGCGAATCTGTCAATAGATTCAGGAAAGTGTGATCGTACAATTATATTGTACGTACAATTCAATGAATCTCTGCTTCAATAGCCTTTGACTTTAATCACCTGTATTATGCACGCATTACTCGCTTGCTAAGCATACTAGAAGAAAATTTGGCATTTCGCATTTTGTGCTATTTTCTTAAGCTCCGTCTGTTTTCTAAGTCAAAAAACTTTCGAGAAATTCCATTTACGTCCATTCCAGTTCATGCATAATATCTCCTCTAATTAATAATTTTGTTACGAATGGCACGTTATGTTCACACATAACGCTGAATAGTTACGCTCCTCTGAAACTTTCCCCCAAATGATTAACTATAACGTAACGATAAAAACCCCCGTCATCACTCTTGCGCAATCGATATCTCCGTCACATAAATTAATATCTTCTCACTTAACAAGCTAACAATAAATTTAGCTTTGGCAGTAGAGTCCATTTAATCCACGTGCTCGTAAAAAAAAATCTAGCGAATAGATTTCTTCTTGGCAAGGATGCAGTACGTATGGCGGTGATAATACGTTTGCACGTAATTTTTTTAGCCCAAATTTTTTCTTAAAAAAAAAAAGAAAAAGACATACAAATTTTACGATATTGTGGTGAATCCTTTCTTGTTTCATTATAAAACGAAAGTAATACGTACGCGAAATATTAAACGGCATAGACGATACAACGGCAATACTACTTCAATTACAAGAGAAGATATGATTACATAATAAATAAAATCTTCTATATATATGTACATATTATCTATAAATCTAGGACAAAATTTCATAACAATCGTTTATATACCTATATATACAATGTAGCGATATAATAATTAACAAGATAAGAACACTGCGAGGTAACAATTTCCTTGAAAACGAATACCTTAACATCAAGGATTGGGACACACGATAGACTTTAGATTTAAAAATAGCATAATAGGATAACGTAGCACTGCTCGCAAAAGTGCCTCGTATACTGGTAACGATTTCATCAGTCTGTACGTATTGCTGACACTGTACAGCGGCGTAACTATATCACTATTTTATATCCACACGCTCTAAATAATGTAACATTACGTAATGTTGTTATACTGGTTATAAATTGTATGACTATAACGGAGGAAACAGTTTTGTATATCACTCGGGTATTTCTTAAGAAATATGTATAAAACATCAACATTTAAAGTGCCATGCACATGCAGAGTGTCGTTTCACATCGAGATGTTTCACGCGACATGCACGAAGTCGGATACGAAATTCATATTTCACGAGCACGAGGCGCAAGCAAGAAACTATTAATAACTAAAATTGTATCCTTCTTTCTACGTCACGCTTAGGTCACTTTTAAAACGTCAGCGCCAATAAATAACATAAAATGTCTTTTCGTAATTCCTTCAATAATCATACGTATGGGTATTTACAAATTGCACATCAAGAAATGTATTGCATTTACGATTAATTAGGCACCTCGTTAACAAGAAAATAATATACACATTATGTGAAAATAAATTATAGTTTTATATATATATATATATATACATATATATATATATATCGTATATATATATATGTACATACACACACACACTAAATGATGATGTGAGACTGTAAACTGTCTTGATTATTACTTAGTAAATCAAGAGAATAGCACAAGGAAATAAAATGTATGAAAGGAATACTCTATATAAGTAGAAAAAAGTATACCCGATTGCCATCGCAGTGATAGCGATTGTTGCATCCGAGACAAATCGAGAGCGGAGAAGTATGATTTCGATAAGAGTCACATTCGCGCAATATTTTTAAATAGATGAAGCCATTTCTTCGTTCTCGATTCGACATGGATGCTCAATATGATAAATAAATGAGGAACATTATACACAAACTCTAAGATGCAGACTAAAATAAATCCTCAGGATACTACACAACAACACTTTCTACATCTAGTCCGCCTTTCCATAATGTTGCTCTTATATCGTTCAGTGACTTTATAAGCTTTCAACTTTAATCTAACGTTTCCTGCGTCACTGATATCCTGACTGTGCGTCGAATTACTTCTCGTTGTATTCTTCGAGGTACATGTCTTTTGTTTGCTCTCACAACTTATAATCTCTACGTCATGACTTACCGCATGTATATCTGGGCATATCATTATCATGTGACTGTCACAATCTTGATTTCTAAGAGATTCTATCTTCTCAGCCTTCTTGTGTAATATTTCGAGGGGTTCCACATTTATTCTGTCCGGATTCATGTCGGTTTTTCCACGCTTTCTTCGTAATGTCTGCAGAGAACTCGATTGATTTTCCAATAAGATTTCGGTGCATTGTATGTTTTGAAAAGATTCATCTGGAACATTCTGTTCCATAGTCAATTTATCATTCGTTTTATCGAAAACAACGTCACTTTGCATGTAAAATGTATTTCTCACGATAGCTTGTGCACCTATTTGACATTTCGTCTCCTTACACATATCGCATTCATTTTCGATAAATTTTCTATCGTCCTCTTCAAAGTACAAGTTTTTATTTGATATCAATTCGTTGTGGTCTTTCAAATATGCGTTATTCTCTTTTCCTATTATTCTATCTGTACTTTGACTCAATCTGCTGCATTCTTCCTCATCCATCTTGTCACAAATTTCCGATTTTTCCGAACTTATAGCATCGCCACTCAGTGTTTTTGTTCGACCATCTGAATATGTGCTCAGTTTGTTTTCCGAATAATTACTTAATCTGTCGTCGTGGAAGTATGTAGAGCTTGCGTTTGACTCGAAGTTACTCGCGTTTATTATTGCTATTCGCGGTATAATCAGATCAGGCGGTAATCCGTCGACGATGTCCGGAGGACTCGAGTTCGAGGAGGATTGGTTCGCAAAATTACTGAAAGAATGATAACCTTGCTGCCCCTTACTTTGGACCCAAGCTTCTGTTAATACGTGGGATCGTTGCCATGATACATCGCTGTTGCATCTGTTTTTTCTTACGCACCATTGATCATCAGCATCGGACCAGGAGCGCAAATGGCATTCGCTGGGACTCCTCTTGATGTCCGAGGCGTCTACTTCCAGATCCGAGTCCTCGTGTTTCTTATTTTGCACAATCAGTTCTAATCTGGACTTCAATAAAGCCGGCGACACAGCTCGATCAATGTGTCGTCTTGACATGTTCGATGTCTGAGTCGATCGCAGCAATGACGTCGCATTGTCACCGCCAACATTGCTGTCGATGTGATCCGTATATAAATCCGGAACCTCTCCGGAAGCCATCAGCGCATTTGGACTCGGACTGTCCATACTATCTGGCGTGTAAGGATCATGCTTAACAGGTATTGCGTGCAACAGATTAGATGAAATAGAATCCGAGCGCGCGTTAGCGTAACTATTACAATCAGGCAACATGGATAACAACTCCAGATAATTGTTGGGCACTCGGAAGCAAAACTCAGATGCAATTGGCAAGTTGCAGCAGTCTATCATACCTGCATCCGAAACGAGAGTAGCCTCCAAGTAGACTGGCTGTAAATGGTAACGAACTTTTATATATTATCGTGCGTTAGTAAAAAAATGATAAGATGATTATGAAAGGTTTGTGTATTATAGGATTCTATGGGACAGGTAGACGATCTCAAGCTAACATTTCATCTTTAAAGGGATAATAATATATAGTAATGTACTTTTCAATCTGTTAACTTTATTTATATGATATTTACTGAATATATGTGCAGAATTTTAAAGAATCAATATTTCAAACGAACGATATTATAATATACAAATTTGACGATCATTTTCCAAGTATAAAAATTATGATATATATTTTATTCAAAGATTTATATCTCATACCATTTTATGTTAGTAATATTTTTTGCAATATTGTATTTGTATACCGTAATGCCCGCATCAGATTAGAGTCATTAGAAATTAGAGTTGAAGATTGAGATGGAAATTTAACCAATCGAAAGAAAGAAAACCAATATGAAATTTAGTGAACTTTGCTTTAATTGGTCAAATTTAATTTCAATCTCTATAATCTGAATATAATACTGCCTATAGAATATGATCAGTACTTTAATTTAATATAATGCATAATAATTAATTATATTGTAATTAACGATATAATATAATGTATAACAATATAATATAATGTAACCTACTTTATATGTATCAATATTTATGTTTTTTATAATACAATGTTCCCAAAATAAAAAACATAATTTTAAAATCATTAGTGATTACCGCTCTTTATCATGCTATTATATGATAATAATCTCGTGCGTCATGTAACCAAAATATAATATGTATTGTGTGTATAATGTAATAAAATGTTGTTCAGCATTATAGGAAAAAAATAAAAGGGGCGTTACAATGCGTATTGATAATTAGATTGAAAAAGTACGATTATTCCATGATAACAATAATGAAGCTAAGAATTATAAGAAAGAAATAGATTCAAAAAGTAACGTAGAAGTAAGATACTTCAGGATACTACGTGTGTGGAGGTGCTACATTAAACAAGCCCCTATTATGTTTATTGTCAAGATAACGAAATACTAACAGAATAAGAGACGTGAAAGACATAGGGGATTTCAGATAAGAACAGACAGACAGTTCATAGATAAGTACCTTAATGCTTAGAGATTCATTCGAAACTCCAGAAAAACAGGCTGCATCATAATAATTGAAAGAATGGATCATCAGAATAAGAACTAGGCAGTGTGTAAGTATATGTTCCCAGCATAATAATAAGTAAAAAATGTCGTAGTATCGTTTTATAAATGTAAGAAAAAGATGCGAATTGGAAAAAAACTTTTAATCTTACCTTATGATCACCCATGCACGTATTTGGGCCGATTATACCGTATTCCACTGCCTTGGAATCATCAATCTGTACAAAAAAACATAAGCGTTATACTGATAAATTCTACAATTCACTTTTAGAATCGCTTTACATCGATCGCGAATATAAATTCCACAAGAACACGTACATTTTGGACTAGCGTTTTTGCAGTGGGGCTCAATAAAACCCGATCGCACCAAGCTGGCACTCTTGTTTGCATATAATTTACAGGCTCGTTAATATCTTCCTGAAACGGGTAACTTGGCACAAAGTTGATTGGAAATTCGAATAACCTTCCTTCAAAGTCTCCCAGTTCTTTATCATAGTCGCGTAACTGCATAAATATGAATAATTCAATTATTGGCATTCCAATCAATCGATTGAATATGAATCATATCATATTATATATCATATATATAAATGGAATATGTAACTTACCCATTCACCATTATTTTTGATGAAAATGTTCTGATGCTCATAATGAGAAAATTCTTTTTTGCCTAACGTTAATATGAGATCATCATTTTGGTTGTGAAATTGCAATTTCGAAATATTTCCCTTATTTGATAACTTCTTTTCTTGAGTATTTTCCGTTAGTTTCTATTAAAGATAAATTAAAGTGCTGTAATACATTTGATTTTAATATAATTTCATTAATATATATGTAATAATACATATTATTTATTTGCTACAACAATTCAAACGTATGACATACACAAAGTAAAACACAATTGTACTGCTAAGTAATATTGCTTTTGACAATAATATAGATATTAATTTATTTATAAAAAATTAATATGCTTTTAAGAATTTTTGATATATTCGTTTCTAATTTCTTTTTTATTTTTTATCAAAATCTTATCGTGATTACTGATGGAGTCTCACCTTTATTACATTTGCTGTATCTGTCCTAAAATTAAAGTCACCAAATAAAAAATACGGCACATTTGGATATTTGTCATTATGAAATTTATTTAATGTATGCTCAAGCGCTCTTCTGCGCGTTTTATTGTATACCGATGGAAACTGTAAAAAAATTGTCAAATTAAAAAATAAATCGACACGCATACAAATACATACTAATGTATACGGAATAATAAACATAAAAATTTCTTACCATTTCCATAGCAATAAAATTATTCGCGTCATGAAATAAGTGTATGTTTATGAGATCAAAAACTGTTCCACTAATACTCCATCGGGTACGCAGAAAACCCTTTCTGGACCATTTGCATTCTGGGAAAAATTCTTGAGGAAACTTAGCTTTCTCTTTGGTACTAACTGCCTCTATGTTGCCCGAGTGGACATCTTTTCCATTTACAGATATAAAAGACAACTCTAAAATCATATAATAATAGAAAAATATTATATATGGTTATTGGGAGGAGCCATTTAAAATAAAGTTATATGGAACGTACCATTAAAATCCCATAATAAAACATCGTTTAAAGACTCGTGCACAAAGTAGAAATTTCCTAGAGCCTACAAAAGAATCTTGATAAGAATATTGCTTTATTTAAAGCAATCGGGTAATATTCAATAGAAGTTATATTCCATAACTCACCGTAAAATGTTCAGCGGATGAATAATCTTCGTCAAGAAATACCCTAATTTTGTCAAACAACCTTAATTCTTCCGATGACATAAGTAATCTGTAAATAACATTACGCATTAAGTTGTAGTAGAAAAATATGATATAAGCTCCAGATGAAAATCTCTTATAAATATATTTTTCAAACAACTTTTTTATATGTAATATATACATTTCTCCCCTGTCAATATATACAATCAACTTATCTTTTGAAGTGACTCACTCAACTATAGAGTCACGCGTGATGCATCTATTTTTATCCCTTTCTGCCAGTTATGCGTTAAATCATATTCAATATCATATATGTGGAAAGAGAAAGCTATTTGTTTTGGTATATTTATAAAAGGTTTAAATACATAATATCGATACAATGATAAAGATCAAAAGTTAAATGATCGTTATACATACGAATGGATATTTTACAAAAACAATATTAGACGAATGTATATAGGTTATCTTAATAATTTAATTATAGCCAAATATTATAGCTCTTGGAAACCTTTCAAGAAACTCCAATAATAAGATTATAACATGATACCTTTGGAATCTACAAAACATTTAATCTCTCTATGCGTGTAATTTATCATGCTGCTAAAAATTTATTATTTGCTTTATTAAAATCTATTTATTAAAAGTGACAATAATGATAAATATGTCTATTTACTTCTATAAATATATATTACGGAGAGGAATAGTTGGAACGCCAGTTTAACCCAGATAAAAAATGTGACATTTACCTAACAAAGTCCTCCACGTGCCTCATACTCTGCTCGTAATTCTTTCCACCTACTTCTTGGCAGTGCAACGCTATAAATTTTGGATCCAGCCTCGATATGGTCTAAAAAAGCAATCCACTTGTAAAAAAAAAAACAGGTCGCGCCATCGCCGACCAAGTGAATCGCGTAAAACGCCTTACAGGGATGGTACTTACGGATAAAAACTCTTCCGTCCATATCTTCAGCATGACACTAGGCTGCAAGAAGAGATCGCTCGTATCAATCTATGAATCCTTCATACTTCGTGCACTTTAAAGAAAAGCTTAATGAGATGTTCGAGGGCGCGCGGATATATTAATAGATTGTTAACGTCACGCGCAAGGTTTTATCGGAGCACACCACCAACCTCCCCCATGGCACCCTCTCCTGATGCGACGACAAAAAAGCACGCGACGGGTGTTCTTTTCTCTGCGTTTCGCGTAAACGACGGATACGATAATCGATCGTGGTAATGGAAAACTCTCTCGCGCGCGTGAATCTGGTCGCTCCGGTGCCGAACATGCGGACTCGTTCTGATTAAATATCAGAATCTGATCACGAGATAATACAAATTTTTAATTGACTCGTCGTTTTCGTCAACTTCAGTAAATTAGAAGTATAAGTCAGACTGAGGTAGTACAATATATTGAGTTAAAAAGAAAGTAATGTCATACATTTTCAGCTCAAAATTATATACACTGAGAAAAAAATTTACTAAATTTTAATATTTAGTATTTAAATATTTTTTTGAATAATCCCCTAGCGCAGATACTTACTAATATATTTATTAAATACAATAACCATTAGTTTGATTTAATTATCATTTTTTTTCATGTTTCTAAATATTTAATTACCGTAAGTAAATATTTCGCGCTATGACTATTCAAAGAAATATTTATTAAAATTTAATAAATTTTTTTCTCAGTGTATAGAATGTATTCGTGAAAAAAATGAACAAAATTTAATTTTCAAAAAACAGCTTTAAAAAGCTTAAAATTAAAAACTTTCAAAGCGTTACTTATGTTTTTTAAGTTTTTGTGAAATAGTAATTTTTATCAAAATTATGAATTGGACGAAATGAAAAATATTCTTCTCACTTTGTGGACTTGCCACGTGCTCCAAAAAAATTTGCGAAAATTTTCTAACATGAAAGTTTAGTTTTATAATATAAATTCTATAAATTCGTTTTTTAAAAATGTTACTAAAATTTTTTATTATTGAATTATCGCAGGTTAAATAAAAGGAATATTTTGACTTTAATTACTCATAATTCCATTAAAATCATCAATTTAAAAAACAGATTCTTAAAGCTGAAATTTTGCTCTGACATTGAATATAATAATATTTTGAGGATTAGTTTGAATAAAATAACAATAATTACAGTCTCAATTTCTCACATTCTCGCGTTCGGTCGTTCGCATCTCTCTAGCAACATCTTTGTAGCCAAAATACTATTTCGCATATACGTTTATTATTTATCGTTATTATATTTAAATCTTAAATAATTCTGTTACAACCGCGGAGAGCAATCGTTTAAATGACAAATTACAAATTTATTAGAGTACAATTTAAAGGACATTACATCTGATTACTCTGTTTTAATACGCGACCAATATAAAGAAAATTCGAGATCGTCGAAAGAAATATACAAGTTTAAAGGGCTATTGTCTTCGTTCTTGCAACCAATGATTCGTGTATAGCCATACCTAATTAAATATGTGTACGTATGTCAAATGAGTACATATGTCTTTTGTCTCACCGATAAATTCCGTAAAGATGGATACTTGTAACAATGCAATCGCCACAGTATAATAGTATATAATTTTTTTCCTAAAAACACAATATTACTTTTTTTCTAACCCAATATATACATATATATAGAGGAAGATAGTATACAGGAATGTCCCAACATTCACGATTTAAAATACTGTAGCGAGAAAGTTCTTAAAAAATTAAATAAAAAAGTTATTTATAAATTGTTATCTTAAGTAGTATTTTCTGAAACAATAAGAGTTTAAAAATGGTCAATTGCAGACGTTTAGGTGACACCTGTCCTCATTAAGGTATTAATGAGCGTTGATGAGTGCGTACTTCAGCAAGTTCACTAATACTTACTAATAATTATCTAAATGTAGTATATAATTGGCCACATTTAAATTCTTATAAACAAGAAAACGAGGGCAAAGAGACGATTAATGAGATACAATGAACAATATGTGTTAAGAAATTATATTTATTTAGACATTTTGGCTCTTCATCCTCAATAAATGTTGTTTCTAACAATATGTACAGTTTTAAATGCGTGATTCTCATTTGCCCGTGTTTTCTTGTTTGTTTGTTGTTGAATTATTGAGAAATTTGTAAATTATCATCATTGTTTTGAATCCGAATTTAAACCTTTATATCTCGGAAATTATTGCTTAAAATATTAAAAATTTACAAAAATTTAACTTTATCTTCTTTTTCTTTTTATTATAGGCTATCACTGATTTTCTTCACGCGTTGTAATCTGGACTCGTTATTAAAGAAAACAATAGCTCTTTAAACTTGTAAATTTCTTTCGACGGTCTCGAGCTTTCTTTATATTGGTCGCGTATTAAAACAGAGTAATCAGAATGTACTTTTTAAACTCTAATTAATTTCTAATGTGTCATTTAATAATTTTTTTTACTAAATTTTTCCAAAACTTTCTTGCTGTATATTGAATCATGAATTTTGCGACTCTGTATATATGTATACCTTCCTCTCTCTAATAGAATTTTGACGAAATCGTGACCGGACTCTGATACAGAATCTCTAGTGCTGATGCAAACGATTCCCCGTGACTTTCACAATTCTGGTGACGCACTGTTAAATTTATAGTGTCGAATTATATTCAATTCGAATTATTTTTAATCATTTCTATAGATCGCATTGCTCGTACTCCACATGTTAATTTGACTGAAACAATGGAGTTAAATAATTTAATTTTAAAAAATGTAATAAATTAGATTCAAAGTTAGTTTTACTAAGTGCATTAATATATGAATATATTATTTACTTTGAAAATAACTACAGAAATGGTTTACATTTCGCCATGTATGTAAGTTAAATATAACAAAATATTATTTAACTCCAGGAATTGAAGTGCTATTGCTTCTTTGATATCTAGTAGCAAATTCGATTGAGAGCATTCAGTGCGCAATGGTGCACATTAAAGTCGTTGTACACAAATTGACATAAAGATGTGTGTTTAATATAAGAAAAGAAACAGATTAAAACGAAATTCTTATAATAGTACCTTTATTGTGCTATTTGATAAAAATGTATTTTATAATTCAAAATGTTAACGTTTAATTTTTACACTTGGATTAGATCAGTGTACAATGACTTTAATATGCATTAGTGCACTAGTGCAGCCAATGTTATAACAGTGCGACACGAGAAAATTGACGCTTCGATAGAACTATCAACAAACGTCGCGTCGGTGCACGCACTCGAGAATCGATATCGAGTATGCGTGTTTCCGATCGTTCCATCCGCGTGACCGTCGAGAGATTGGGTGCTTTCCATTTAATGACACAAGTCGACATAAACATCATTCTATAAAGCTGCGCACAATCAAAGGCTGCGTTCGGTAGAGAAAACTAATCAGTTAGCACTTAATAATTATTTAATATGATTTCCTACATTTAGATTCAACGAAGAACTAAAGGCAAGAACTAATTATATTAAAGAATCACTAAGCGCTAACTGATTAGTTTTCTCTACTAAACGCAGCCAAAGGAATAAAGAATAGAGAACGAAGAATAAAAATTTTAACCTAATCAGAAATTGTGTGTATTCCATTTCAGTATATGGTTTCTGATAGGCTGAAATTCTTATTCTCTGTTCCCTATTTCTTTGATTGTGCGCAGGTCTTGTCTTTCTTGATATTCAAAGAATAAGAAAGATAGAACATTTGTGTCGACTTGTATATCAAATGGAAAGCACCCATTATCACGCAATTCACTTATTGTTATTATTTGTTTCCTTTATTAAATGTAATTGCGCTTAACCGTCGTAAATAATAGAAATTATTAACGCAAGTTCGTACAAGGTTCTTTTTCGCATCGGGAAGTCGATATCAGGAATGCAAAGCGCACTATATAGTGTTTCGAGAAGCGAATTTCTCAATTCGGTAATCGATTGTTCAACGAGAACTCCTCCTCCTTCATCTCGAATACTTACACACTTAGTTCGTTGCGAATAGATCCCGCTTGGAAAAACGCAAAAGAGAACGTTTCGTTTAAATGGAACGTTACGAAGGACAAAAGAAAGCTTGTAAACATATTTCTCGCAAACTTTTCCAAGTTACATAATCACGTTAACAATTCGTTTCGTAGTATTGTAATATCGTAGATTTCACATGGGAAATTATTGTAAATTTATACATGTATTCATCGTGACGCTTGTGAAACACGTGACAGTGTCAATAACAAGAAATGGCGAAAGTAAAAGATAAGCTTAATTCTTGTGTCACGAATTGTATATTTAATTTATATAAAATACTGTCGTATTGTTTTACACGTTATGAAAAAATTTAAGGAGGAATTTCACGCTCTCTTATATTTGCGTTTGTCATTGTAACAAACTAAAAAAATTGGAAGGAACATTTAAACTTAGGATAGGGTTAGGCATATATTTGAAATACTTTTATTTAAAACATTGTATTTGCAATACAAGTGTATTTCGCATTTTGTATTTTAGCAAAGAGCGCATGAAAATATTTTGTATTTAAAATCGAAAGATTGAAAGTTTTTTGTATATTTTATAATTCAAATAATAAGATTGATTGTCAATCATAATATTTGAAATTCAAAATACAAAATACTTTCAGTCTTTCAATTATTAATACTGAAATACAAAATACAAAATACTTTTATATGCTGCGATGAAATACAAAATATTTTTATGTGCTCTGCTCTAAAATACCAAATATAAAAATACAATCATTAGGAAATAAGAACCCTAAATGAAGGGTTAAGTTAGATTTTTAGTGTTGACATAATTCTGTGTTTTTATATACATAGTTCTAAATTTATATACTACATATATGTAGCTCTTTTTAAACTGTGCGCCGAAAATAATTTTCGGTCTTCAAACGCAAATCGATTGAACTACTGTAGTAATATCACAAATTAAATTGATAAGCAATTTAATAATTTGACGTTCTCTATCGGCATCATATTAGAGAAATCTCAATGTGTTAAAAAATCTGTGAATAAATTTATTGCGAAAAATATTACCTCGGAAAAAAGACTATGTATAGACTATGTAGTATAAAAATTTACACAGAATTATTTCAGTACTAAAGATCTAGCTTGACCATTTAAGATCCTTATTTCCTAATCGATGTGTAGTCACATAATGGTCTTATTGAAAACTTTGTATTCAAAATATAATTGTCTTACAAATATTGTTTTTCAAATAAAAGTATTTCAAATACATGCCTTGGTAAAGGATACATTAACAATTCTATTTTTGTTAATAAGTTTCTCTGATGGAGTCTTAGAAATTCTCTTACAAAATCTTAGGAATATTTTTATGTCCAAAAATTGTTCTGAAATTTCTTGTTGTTAATTATTTAGAAATAAAAGGCTTTTCAAAAATTTGGAAATTTTTAAAAAAGAATAAACACAATTTCTTGAGCGATTTTACATAACATATTGTAATATTTCGAAGCATAGGTATAATAAAACAATTATTTGCAACACAATTTAAAAAATAAGATTTTTCCAAAAATAATTTTGAATCAATTAAAATTTTATAATATTAATTGAAATGCAATAACTGATTTGTAATAACTGATTATAGAGGAATAAAGATATGTTCTTCGCGAAAAAATGATTTTAAAAAATTAAAAAATTAGTTACCCTAAAAAAAATTGTTCATTTGACTAAATTAATTTAGTTCATTATTTCTTCCATTGGAAAATTAATGTATTTAAGTCTAATGTGTAATGTTTAAATTAAAACATATTTTGTTTTAAAGAATCTATACGAAAAATTTGGCTCTTAATCCTTCTGTTATTCATTTTTATTTATTATTATTGAGTCATTATAAGTTTATCCTTATTTAAAACATTGTTTTGCTGTGTCAAACAATCGAGCGGTTATACATATAATTGTTATAAATACATATATTCTTCAACGAATAAATAAATCAAAAAACAAATTAAATTAATTTTGCCAAATGAATAATTTTTTTCTCTCAGTATAGTACAAACGTGAAGATAATTTCATTAGACTATCAAAATAATTTTTTAGGTCGCTCGAGCTGGTTACGGAATGTCATAACTTTTTGCAGCATTGCTCATCCTAGCAGTTTCCTACATATTTAATTATTTTAATTATTTTAATAGTCCAACAAAATTATTTTTAGATTTGTATCTATCTCAATTTTAGTCACTTCAACAAAATCATTCTGAATATTTTAAACTTTAAAGCATTCCTTTTTTCCTTTACGTTTCCATTCTTTTTCCAAGCATAACACAAAAATAGCAATTTTTTTAATTGTGTCAATTTGTTGTAGCAAATATTGGGCAATATTTTAAAGTCAGGTGGATGCGTCCAAGTGATGACAGAAAATCGAAAACTTCTAAACGTCGAAAACATTAAAGTCGAGTTTTGAGATCAAAGAGATCTACAGAATAAGGACCTTACACGCGTAACTTTCAGTAAGTCTGCAACATCTCGCAGTTTACACATCAAGGACTAACAAACCGAAATGTCGAAATAAAATACGCGCATATTAAAACACGTGGAAGGAGGAGAGAGAAAGAAAGAAGTACAAAAATTATCAGAAGCCGGAGTCCCGGAGTGCGGCGATTGGACGAATCGGACCTTTAAATTTCATCGCGCCGACTTTCTCGCGGTCGACCGGGCGGACTACCTAAAACGAGCCGATCGTTCGGCACGTGTCGACCGCGAAACCGTTTGCGTATGCACGAATGTATAAAAAATTCGCGCAATCCAAAGCAGCGATATCCGACAGGTAAGAAGAGAGAGAGAGAGAGAGAGAGAGAGAGAGAGAGAAAGAAAAAGAGAGAGAGAGAAGAGGAGAACGGAGCAGCACGACGGCACGACGCGGCGGCAGCAAGTAGGTCGTGTGTCGCGTGGATAAATAATCGCACGAAATCGAAGACGTGCGCGCGATCGATCGATCGGCTTGGTTCTCGGCCGGCCGCGCCTCGTCTCGCCGGTTACGGTATCACGAGGGGGTCAACGATATATACACATATACACATCGTATAAAATAAGTACGCACGTACCTCTTCGAAGATGCTGCCGACGTTCGCGGTGATGAGGAGGACTGGGACAGCGTTGCTCGCCATTCTCGCGATCGGATTTAGTGATGGGGCCTGATTTCTGGAGCTTCGGCTTCCCTAGTCTCTTGATCCTTGAGGGCGCACGATAGTCCGCACCGTGACGGCTGTCGTCAGACAATGATAACGATTGCGGTGCCGACTGCCGCGGAGTCACGGTTTGTCGACACTCTCGAACCACACCGCACTACACTACACTGACGACGACGACGACGGCGGCGACAGTGACTGAGTGACGGCAACGGACGAACACTAGTAGTAGTGAGCAGCAGCAGCAGCAGAGCAGCACCAAGCAGCACTCGTGTCCGCGCGACGTTCGACGATCGACGGCGGCCGCGCACGTCGCTCGCACGCACTCTCGCACACTGCTAACGGAACAGACGTCGGCTCTATCGGTCGGTCGTTCGCGCACCTATCTTGCTCGTTCTATCCATCTGTCTCTCTCGCTACGTCACACTCTTCTTCTCGCCTCCGTTCTCTTCTCACCGACTCACTGCCGGAGCTGTTGTCGCACCTTTCGGGGAAAGCGCCGTGTTAAGAGATAAACACAGAGATATCGCGACGAGGACGAGGAACAAAGTCATCCCCCGCGCCGCGAGGAAGCCGCTCGACCTCGGCGCTACCGCGCCGCGAGTACGTGCGCATCGTCGATGATCGAACGCGGGGCAGGAGAAGAAAGAGTAGACAAATTACAAACGCGCGGAGAGGAGAACCTCCGTTCCGTTCCTTCCTTCCTTACGAGTTGCGTTACGTTGTATGTCGCGTACGTCGTACACTCGTACGGCGGTTGCGTTGGCGCACGAGAGAGAAAAGTCGTGCGCGCGGTAAATATATCCCTCTATCGGCCACGCCACGCCTCCCGTGGACGTCAATAGGCAGTGCCGTGCCTACCACGCGTGTTACTGGCGAACATGCGTGCCGGTGAACACGCGTGGCGCAGTGTGGAGTAGCGCGCTACCGCACGCCGAGGTGACTTCAGGTTCAGAAGCCCTAGCCTTGTTCTTTTTTCATATCCCAGGAGATCGATCTTGAAACGAGATGAAAATTACGAATTTTCGAATCTAGAGCGAATTTATTAGAATATTTAGAATTTCATTGGTCAACACCTTGTACACAGTATTAAGTGAAAATCAATCGATGAGATTAAACACATGAGTGAAAAATGACCTACATCTGTTCACTTTTGTAATTTTCACTCTTAGAGAATCGATTGTGTATCTTGAAATAAGGAGGTCGATCTTTTTTCTGTATCTTTTTAAATTAGGTTTTAAATTAGGTATTGATCAATTAGTTTATGAATATTCTATGAGTGAATTTATTCACTTTTGTAATTTTCACCTCATTTAAAGATATAGACTCGACTTCTTGAGCTGAAATTCTTATACGGTTCTTTATCTTTTTTTTCTCCAATATGAAAAGAAAAAGAAGATAAACTGTGCAAGCAATTCAGTTTTGGGAATCAATTTTGTAACTTTTTCTCTAGAAAAATATGTACATACATACACATACACATAAAAATATTCACTTTTTCGTTAAAGAAAAAGTTACATGATTAATGAGATCCTCTAGGTCCTATAGAATAAAATGAGAATAAATGAGATCCTATAGAAGAAGAATGGGCCTCTTATATAAAAAGTCTAGTCACGAGATGACAAACTCATGCAACCATCGTTTTTATGGACTTCAGTAAGTTAGAATGAGGAATTTAAAAAGAGACAACGTATATCCTTCTTTCTCACTTTTGTTTTAACAAAATTGTTCGCGGCCAGATTCTGTCATTAATAGGTTGCAGATATTTATACAAAACACTTAACTGAATATTTTGCATATTTTACATAAATTGCATGTTTATAGATAGCAATCTCAACCTTTTTATTTTACTTTTTATTAACTGTTTAACAAACCACGATCGACTGCTCAAACTGTCTGATAATTAATATTCAGTTAAGTGTTTTGCATAAATATCCGCAGTCTAATTATTAGTCTAGCCTCAAGTAGAAATTCTATATCAGAATCTGATCACGAATGATTTTGTTAAAATCCTACGAGAGAGAAAAATATATATCCATTTTCTCTGTACATAAATTGTTACGCTTTAACTTATACTGTTTCACTCTATAATATTAATTAAGATTATAAATACGGTAACTATACGTCCTTTATTGTAAAGGACACCTTTATTGTAAGGACTTTATTTCAGATAGCTATCCTTTAGATTTAGATTTATTTTTTTAAACTCAATTTTATCCTTTATCTTAATAACATTACAGAAAATTCCTTATAATTAAAATTCTAATGTCTAATGTCTCACTAATGAGCGAGTTCATGAAAACAACTAACAAATTTAGTTTTATGCAACGGCTACACAAGGTGCGTCATCAAAACCCGGACAAATTTCAATTTAAATTTTTCGCTATATTGTGCCTCCAAAGGTTGTTGTTGGCGTCCGAGAAAACCTGATGCTTCTAGTAAACATATTCTCAAAATGGCCGCAATGTTGAAACCAAATGCGGAGTATAATCAAAGAACCGCGATCATCGAAGGCCTTCGCGCTGGACGCTCAGCAACGGAAATAATTCGATTCCTTGGATACCCGAGATCAATCGTTTATGATGTTGTGGCAAAATATACGGCTTTAGAACAGTCCAATGAAGATTTCAGTATGCCAGCGAGGAAGAGTCACTCGAAAGAACACATCGCGAAGACCCCCCCGCAGTCGTTGAAAGGGTCTGATTTCGGATGACCCAGGGCAATTGTTGCGAAAATTAGCATCAATTGTTGGTGTAAGCGAGTCAACAATGCGTCGAATTATCGAGGAGGACCTTCGATACAAATCGTACACATTAAAGATACGATAGATGCTCTCTGAGGCTGCCAGGACAAGCCGAGTTGCTCGCCTCGGCTCCCATTCTGACTTTCCAACAGCCCAGAGTTAAATCCCTTGGACTACTACGTATGGAGCGTAGTTGAAAGGGTAACAAACAAGTCTCGGCATCCCAATGTGACGTCATTAAGGACCGTTATTGAGGCAACATTCGTCGGCATGGACAACGTTACATTACAGCGTGCGTGCGAACGCTTTAGACCGAGAATAGAGGCCGTCATTCAAGCTAATGGGGGATATATCGAATAATTGTACTCTAGAGGGATCCCCCAAATGCCATGGAAAGGATTTTTTGAAATATTTAATTTTTCATTAAAAATATTTTGTTTAAAGAAATTGGTCGATTTGTACGGATTTTGATGACGCACTCTGTATACGTATATTAGCTGAAACAGAACAAAGTTACAATAACATCGGAATAATCATTTTGATGTTGTAATGACTTGTACTTTACTTGGGAGTTATTTCAAATATACAAGAAATTTTCAGAAATGCACAGAATAAAGTCCTAAAATTTTCAGATTGTTCTTTATTTTCTCTAAGAAAAAATGATCTATATCAGAGTTTAGTCACGAATAATAATTTTGTCAAAATTCTACGAGAGAAAGATACATTTTCCTTATTCTTATTTCCTATTTTCCTTATACTACCTCATTTTAACTTATTCTCCGAAATAACTAGTTGCTTAAATTGCCCGCAATATTGAGAAAAGTGGCTTCCGATTTTGCCTACCAGAATATTTCTTACCACCAATGAGCAACTTGATGGCAAGAATTCCCTCTTATAAATAGATTGTAGCAATTTTTATAGCAACTGAAGAGAAACTTGTACCTATTTCCTTTCTCATAATTAGAAGCTTGACTATCTAGGTTGTTTCACTCGCGATAACTTTAATTAAGATTATAGAGTAAGACAGTATAAATTAAAGTAAAACAGTCTATATACAGGGCGAATTATATATATTTTTCTCTCTCGCAAGATTGTGACAAAATCGCTCGTATCAGATTGATATAAGGTCTCTAGCCTCAGGCATTACCGATCAAGAATCGACGTGATTTTTCTTCTAACGAGCTAACAAGTAGAGACCAGTGACATTAAGATGATCGTTGCTGGACAAAAAATCTAACAACGTCTGAATAACGGATCGCTCGCGGACAAAGAAGCCGGCTTGAGCATTTATCTTCTTATTAGTAAATAAGTTTCTAATTCGATTTAAAGACTTGATACAGACGAGAGTAAACAAAGTTGAGAGAGTTTAACCGCTGAGATAATAATAATTTGCTTTAATAGAGATCGTTATCTGAGTGAATAAATATTACAAAAATAACGGAGTAGAAGAGGGGGGGAGAGAGAGAGAGAGAGAGAAAGAGAGAGAGAGAGAGAGAGAACATAGAAGATATGTAACGCAACGATTTGAGATTAGATTAAAGAAGGAAAGTTCAAATTAATCGGATTTATGGTTCTCGTGTCAGAAAAAAAGGCCAAAGTTATTTACGTGTGACTTGGGAAATAAGAAGCTGATAGTCGTCGCGAAATATGTCGTGTCGCAACCGTGATATTGGTAGTTGACAAATAATAGGTTTGTTTTTTATTGCTGCACTTTCTGAATTGGTACACACAGTGAACAACAAATATATTTCACTTCAAATATATTTCACTTTTTTATTGCATTCGGTTCAGAGCACAGCAATAAAAAACAGACCTAATATCAATGGACCAATCGAGGAATTGATATTTTCCAGCGGCAGTGCGCCGTTGACTGTTTCTGGCAAAGGATGATCGTTTCTGACAGACCGGGGCTTTTACGCACGAGCGGCGATCGACGTTATCGCTGAAGCGATACGTTGTCTCTCGCTCGACTCGGTTCCCAGGAAAATCCCTGACGGGGGATTCAGGGATCGCATATCTGCGATGGTTTATTCATCGGGCAAATTTTGAATTTTTGCGCACTTAGATGTTATATCTAGAAGATTTTCTTCGAAAAACCTTGATGTAAATCCCATGACGATCGGAAACGTACGTCATTCCGGATATTTGTCAGCGTGCGTATTTGCGCGATAGTGCGTACAATATTGTACAATTGCGTCTGAAGTTGAAATCAAAGCGATGACTGGAAAAAAAGATCTTTTTAGAAAAAGCTTTGTTGCGCGCGATTCTAATGGAGATGAGATGATAATTCCTACGTTTTTTTCTCCGAAAGATTTCGTAAGAAAAAATTATAACTCAACGTATATATTTAAATTGAACACATTAGTAAGTGGAAATCGACTGAGAAATGTTCGGATGATCTTCTTAGTTTATTAAAGTACTATTCTGAAATGTCCTTAGCTTAGATTTAACTTTTTTCAGTTTATTATGAAAGAATAGAAATGTAAAGAAAATGTGATCTTTCTTTATTACAATAATTTTTATTGTACAGGGACTTTTCTATAACGCAGGAAAATGTGAATCAATATTTTATATAGCTAAAAGTACAAACTAATAGTCAAACTAAATCAGAGATATACAAATATAAATTAGATATATGATCCAAGATATAAGAATTAAACTTATCTTTTGTGTAAATTAAAAGAACATTAATATCGTAATTACGATATCCGATTATGATTGTAAGAAGGAAAAGTTTATCGAATGTAATATTTAACTTTTACATGTTGCTCGTTATATCATGTTATATGTATTAATATTACAATAATACATATATATATTAGGTGTTGGAATTAATTCGTAGCGTTTTACAAGTGATGGGAATAAAACGCTACGAATTAATTCCAACACCTAATACATATGTATTGTAATAAAATGTCAAAATCTACAGTAATCTTCTTTAATATCTTTTTTAAATTATTAAATTGCACCCGATTGCACCTTTTCTTTGTACTTTTATATTTTTTATAGTCTTGCATTTTTTATTCTCCTTTTCTATTCAGTCTGTGAATTGCTTCATTTTAAATAATAAAAATGTAAGAAAATACAAGAAAAAAGTTAAGTTTAACAAATCTTTTTAATTTTTTAAATGACAATATTATATAGTTGAGCATGTCGAAATCAAGATATCTCGAATTTATTGCTAAGTTTTATC